GACGAGATATTGAATGTTCTTATTACGTGTGGGTGCCTTACGTATCTCCTTCTACGAAACTATCCACCCCAGACGTCTCGACAAAACAAGATGACGAGAGATCAACCGTTCTTATTATGTGTGGATGCATTATGTATCTCCTTTTATGAAACTATCCACCATAGACGTCTCGACAAAACAAGATGATGAGAGATCGATCGTTCTTATTATGTGTGGGTGCATTACATATCTCCTTTTACGAAACTATCCACCCTAGACGTCTCGACAAAGCACCTCGACCGCAAGCCGCCAATTGGCCAACCAACACCTATCATTGACAATTCAGAAAGTAAGTTGGTTAGTCATCTTTAGACCATGGTGAGACCGAGTATAGTTCGGAGTCTATGATCGGATGGGATCCGAGATATCACGAGGAGCTTCGGAATGTTCTAGAGATGAAGTTTCATGTAAGGAAAGTGGTTTTCAGTGTTTCGGAAAATGTTTGTGATTTTTCGGTATTGTACTGAGAAGGTTCTAGAAGGTTCTGGAATGGGGCCCACCTGCATGGAGGGACACACATGGATGTGGGTAGTGGGGCAAGGCTCCACACCCCTGGTCCAGGAGCACCAAGATCCCCCTTAAAAGGAATAGGATCATATCCCGAAGGGATAATATCAAGATCCTAAAAAGAGGGGATCACGATCGATGGGGAAGGAAAGGAGGGATTTCCCTACCCACCCCTAGCCGCCGGCCCTAGGGGCTTGGGGACCAAGCCTCTCATCCCCCCTCCCATGCCTATATAAAGGGGGGCACAGGGGCAGCAACCCATCCATCCCTTGACGCCTCCCCTCCCCGTTACTCCTCCCACCTCTCCGCAGCCGCTTGGCGAAGCCCTGCCGGAGCTCTTATTATGTCGAGATGTCTAGGGAAGAGTATGTCGGTCAAAGTTAACGAAAGACCGAATATTCTTCTTATCCTGTGGTGCATTACATATCTCTTATTACATAACTATCCACCCCAGACATGTCGACAAAACAAGATGACGAGAGATCGAACATTCTTCTTATATTGTGGTGATGTATGTATCTCCTTTTACGAAAC